CCACAAAGTGGGGGTATTGCCCGCCTCCTATGAAAACCCTGGCACTGGTGAGAACGGAGTGTCCCCACGTGCTAGTAATTGTTGTTGTTGTTGTTGTTGTTGTTGTTGTTGTTGTTGTTGTTGTTGTTGTTGTTGTTGTTGTTGTGTTGTTGTTGTTGTTGTGTTGTGTTTGTTGTTTGTTGTTGTTGTTGTGTTGTTGTTGTTGTTGTTGTTGTTGTTGTTGTTGTTGTTGTTGTTGTTTGTTGTTGTTTGTTGTTGTTGTGTTTGTGTGTGTTGTTGTTGTTGTTGTTGTTGTTGTTGTTGTTGTTGTCGTCGTCCCACCCGCAACCCGCCACGCGACCCACCCGCGACCCCACCCGCGACCCGCCCCGCGACCCACCCGCGACCCCCCGCCACCCACCCGCGACCCACCCCGCGACCCACCCCGCCCCACCCGCGACCCACCCCGGACCCACCCGCGACCCACCCGCGACCACCAGCGACCCACCCGCCACCCACCGCGACCACCACGACCCACCCCGCGACCCACCCCCGCGACCCACCCGCGACCACCCGCGACCCACCCGCGACCCGCCTGCGACCCACCCGCGGCCCACCCGCAACCCACCCGCGACCCACCCGCGACTCACCCGCGACCCACCCCGCGACCCACCCGCGACCCACCTTCGACCCAAGCCACGTTCAAGGTACAAACCAGCATTTTCGGCGCCATCGGCGGGTTTTTTGGCATTCCTTCCAGGCGGAGAGCCCGCGACCCACCCCGCGACCAACTCGCGACCAACCCGCGACCCAAACTACGTTCAGGGTGCTAACCACATTTTTCGGCGCATGCGGCGGGCATCTTTTGCATTCGTTCCAGGTGGAGAGCCCGCGCGGCAGCGGATTTTTGCATGCCGTCTGAACCCGCAACGACCTCTTCAAGCCCCGCGCATCCACACCAGCCCGTCCAGCAACTTTGCCCTGGCGAATTGCCTTGATCAGAGAAGTCGAGGAGCATAAAGTGGAAAAAAATATTGCGTTGCCGTTATCTTGGGAAAGGAAGGGGAGGCAGGAGGAGTAAACGGGGGACGAGGAGGACGCGGAAGAAGAGAGGATGCAAGGAGAATGTGGAGAAAGAGGAGGAGGAGGTGGAGGAGGAGCAGGAGGACCAGGAGGGGGAGGGCGAGGAGGGGGAGGAGGAGGATGAGGAGGGGGAGTAGGGGGAGGAGGGCGAGGAGGAGGAGGAGGAGGAGGAGGAGGCGGAGAGCGCCATCGACAGGGAAGGTGGGGGCCACGAGGTCCGCCGGCTCGATGACGCCCGCGTCGCCCGCGCCCGCCCCCCCACTCTTATCCGCAATGGCGGGGTGCTGCGTAAACCGTCAATCGCCGACCCCTGTTCGCAGCCCCGCCGCTCTGGGCGCACACAGCCGGCCGCTGTGGCACCCTGCCTCGGCTCGAGAGCCCGCCGCGGCGGCACCAAAACTCTCGTGCAGTCGAGGCGCCAGGGGGAGGCCTCAGCAGAAGGCGCGGACCCAGCGGCACGCGCATCCCTGCTGTTAGAGTGTAGGAAAGAGAGAGAGTGAAAGAGAGAGAGTGAGAGAGAGAGAGAGACACACGACACACACACACACACAACAAAAAAAAGACAGACGCACCAGACAGACGGACAGACAGACAGACGCACCAGACAGAAAGACAGACAGACAGACAGACAGAAAGACAGACAGACAGACAGACAGACAGACAGACAGACTCGCGGAGGCAGTATGCCCACACCAAAAAAGCATCAGCAAGGAGGCGAGCAAACCCGCGCCGGCAAGCAACTTGTGCTGCTGGGGCCCCACCGCGGGGGAAATCCCGTACCCGGGCTACTCACAGGGGGCGGGAAGTGCTCGCCACCGAGCCGACGCCCCAAACAGACAGACAGACAGACAGACAGACAGACAGACAGACAGACAGACAGACGGACAGGCAGACAGACAGACAGACGGACAGACAGACTTTGTACGTCGCAGCGCGGCAGAGGCAGTCCGCACGCGCGCTCAGGCGGTCCGGGCAAGAGACAGACAGACAGACAGGCAGGCAGGCAGACAGGCAGACAGACAGACAGGCAGACAGACAGACAGACAGACAGACAGACAGACAGACAGACAGACAGAGATACAGACAGACAGACAGACAGACAGACAGACAGACAGACAGACAGACGGACCTCCAGCCAGCCAGCCAGCCAGCCAGACACACAGACAGACAGAGTGTGAGAGAGACACACACAGACAAAAACAAAGACAGAAGCATGGATAGAGAAAGACACAGGGGCAGGGACAGAGACAGAGAAAGGCAGAGGCAGAGGCAGGGATAAGAATAGAGAAAGAGAGAGAGAGAGAGAGACTCACACATGTTTGTCGTTGCGGCCACGCGCGCGGCGGGAGAGCGAGCGCGCGGCTGGGGAAGATCCCACACACACACACACACACACACACACACACACACACCTACACAGGATTCGATCAGATCGAACTTTTCACTTTGCCAACAAAAACAATCCAGCTGGCGAATCCCCCGATGACGCGCGCAGACTTTCGAAGCACGGCAATGCCCCGACGCCGTCCTGGCTGTCAGCGCCGCAAGGATGCCGACGCGGGGTGGCAAGTAGGCTTTGGAGGTCCGGATTGACCTCAAGCCTGCAGCCGAAATGCAGCGGCAAATTGAGGATGATGGGGGGCGGGGGAACAGAACCCTCCCAAGTGGGGTCCGAGCAGATAGAGTCGGAGGATCCGGCCGCATCACTGATACATCGCCACTGCATCGCCGATGCATCGCCGATGTATCGGCGACGTCGGCGATGCACCGGCGACGTCGGCGTGGAGAAAGTCGAGCTCCACATCGCGCCGCATCGCCGATGCCTCGGCGATGAGGCACGACTCTCCGGCCCCATCTGCTCCGACCCCATCAGGGAGGCCTAGAGGAAGGAAGACGGAGGGAGCAACGCTGAGATTACGAGAACGGCACCCATGCACAATACCATGAGGCACCGCTGAGGCGCTCTACGGTGGCCGAGAAACTATGCATTGTACCATCCCTGGGCCGAGAATTGACGACAATTCGGGAGACGCCAACGCGGTACGGTGCACACTTCGCTCCCCGAGAGCAGCACGGCGGAGCGCAGCCCGTGGCGAGGCGAGCGTCGGCGGAGGAAGACCGGTGCAGACTGGGAGAACCCACCGACGGAGGTCAGAGAGGCTGGTGCGAAAGATCGCGGCCGACCCCCAATGGAAAACCCAGGCGGGTTTGGGTAGGGGGGGGCTCGGGAGGATCCCTGGGGGGCATCGGGGGCTACTTGGTTGCTCGTTTTCCAAAGACGTGTGTGCGTGCATACTTACATACATACATACATACATACATACATACATACATACGTACATACATACATACGTACATACATACGTACGTACGTACGTACGTGCGTGCGTACATACATAAATACATACATGCATGCATGCATGCATGCATGCATGCATACATACATATTACATACATGAACATACATATACATCTACATGTACATATACATATACACGTGCATAAGTATACACATACCTATGGCATATACATATACACATACAGGTACATATACATATACACATACATACACAAATACATACACATATAAATATATACATACACATACATATACAAATGCATATACATATACATCTACATCTGCATTTACATGTACATATACATCTACATCTACATCTACATCTACATATACAGATACAGATACGGATACCTATACGTATACATATACATATACATATACCTATACAAATACATATACATATACATATGCACATGCCTACACACATACATACACATGTACATGTACATACACATATACACATACATACACATTCAGACATGCATGCATACATGCGTGCAAACGGACATACTGGCATACAGACATACATACATACATGCATACGTGCATGCATGCGTGCATGCATGCATACATACATGCACATGCATATAAACATACACATACAAAGATGAAAAATACATATACATATGCTTCGACATATACAGATACGTATAAATACGTATACATATACGTATACATATGCATTATATATACATGCACGTGTACAAATGCATGAAATACCTATATATATACACATCTACACATATACGTGTACAAATACGTAGACCTTACATATATAAATATACCCATACACATGCGTATAGACATGAATGAAGTTAATTATTCGATTACATGTGCCTACGCATACACATGTATGTATATGCTTACATGTACATATGCATATACACGTGCATATGCATCTATGTATATACATGCATATATGTAAATATATTATATACAGTTATTCATCTACATGTGCATGTGCATCTACATAGACATACGTAGAAACAAATACATTTACATATGCAGTTACACCTGTATGTACATTTACATACACGTGCACCTATCCACATGGGTATATATGTGCATGTCCATATATATATATACATATTTACACATATGCATACACGTATACATGTACATACAAAACATACATAAACATATGCTTACACATATACGAATCCAACTACACACACAAACAAATATACAAACACTAAAAAAAACATAAGCATGTTTCATTACATACACATAAACACATACATATACATGTGCAACTACATATACATACACATGTATTTATACACACATGTACATGGCACGTCAACGTTTCCCCACACCGAGGGTCTATGGCTAGCGGCGCTAGCCAAAGCCACCTCAGGACGTGGAACACCAGGCCTGCAAACCGCAGGAGGCCCCCCAAGCCCCGGTGGAGCCCTCAGGCCCACGGGGCCCAAGGAAGCCAGGACGAGCGGGCGTTCCGACAGCGGATCCGTGGAGCCCTAGGAGATCCGGGAAAACCGAGGCCCGAGGAGGGGGGCATCAAGCGGACAGGCGGCGACCTCCTACAAGCGTGGCACTTTCCACGGACCCACAGGATCGGCGAAGGAGGAACTCATTTGCCGTGTTTGAAGATCTCTCGGCCTGTATTCATGTAGCAACCCGTGAACTGCGGGCAGACTACCGCCACAGGGCTGCCCACAACGACGACCTCCGTCGTAGCGTTGCGGAAGCAGGTCTTCCTCTCAGGGAGCCTGATCACGACCTTGTCGCCGATGATGCAACCTGCCGCTTGGTGAGGGTGAACAGCTCAATCGTGCGGAAGAGGCCAGCAAACCCGAGCACCAGCAAGCGCGCGACGTCGCTGGCACCACATTCATGGGCGACCCCAGCGAGGGCCAGCACCAGTTCTGGGCGAAAGGGGAAGCACTGACTGGCGGCTCACACAGGCGCCAAGTTTCGACCAGGCCCCACGCCAGGCCTAGGCTCTGCGGGACCGAAGGGTAAAAGAAGCCCACAGCGGCGACCGCGTAGTTAGCCACGCTGATACGCCCACCCTCGGCCCGGGCCCAAAGCGCCTCGACGCACTCAGCGACGCCCTCGTCGATGTCGGGCGGCGCCGCGGGACCGACGCCAATGCCGACCCGGAGCTCGAGGAGCAACTCCAGGGCATCGGCGTAGCGCTTGGGCGTGGTGCCCGTGACCCCGAGCACTCTCAACCGAGTTCGACACTTTGCCAAGCGCGCCCTCCTCGCCCTCTGAAAGAATGCTTCATGCTCCGCTTGGCCGAAACTGTCGGTTGCCGCCTCGCGCCTTCCAGAGCCCTCTGGACGGGGCGTCGGCCGGGTTTCCTCTTCGGAAATGCACCCGACGATCGGGCAGAGCACCCCCGAGACGGAGAGGGCGGCCCACTCTCACAGCAGCCACTGGAGCCTGCCGCTGGAGGACCTCCCCTTGGCCGCGATGGACGCCGCGGCCTGCGAGTCGAACAGATGGACGAACCTCGCGTCGAGCGGGCGGGAGGCCCGCGACGGCCAACGGGGCTCGGCGATTCCAGCCCGAGGATAGCGGCAGCCGATGCGGAGGTTGGCCCGGCCCTGCCACCTCGGCAGCCCACGCCCACCCAGCCGCGACCCAATCCAAGGCAGAGGCGGCGCCGCGCGCGCGCCTAACAGCGCGGAAGCTCTGGCCCGGCCCGCAGGCCTGACCTCCTCAGCGCCCAGGCCGACCACCTCGAACTCGGGCGTCGACCACGGGTCAGCTGCACGAGCAACGCCGCGGTCGTCGGGTAGGCACGAAGACGGACGAACAGAGCCGGCATGGGGTCACAGCGACAGCCCACGCGAATTCGCCCATGTCGTCGGCGTTCATCGCGGCGACGTTCTCGACGAAGGAGGCGAACTTCTCGTTGAAGTGCTTCCGAAACAGCGCGTAGACCTCTGGGGCATCGTAGAAGAGCACTGGCCGCGCGCCGCCGAGACCGCTGAGTTCCTGGCGCGGACTGCCCGCCCCACTGATGCAGACGTCGCAGGGGCTGCAGCGCGCGCCCGTGAACCCGGCGACGTCAGCCTCGGAGATGGAGCAAACGTCGCCCCAATTGGCTGTCCCAGGCCATGGGGGGCGAACCACTCGGACGGCTGGCCCGTCGATTTCGCTGAAGACCGCGCCGGTGACATCGACGGCCAGGCGCGACGCAGCGACTGCCAGCGCTGCGGCGCCATCGAGGAGACTCGCGATCGGCGCCGTGGATCTCCCGCGCGGCTCGCGCCGCCCGCCCGCCAGCGCCGCGGCGGCGCTCGCCATGTTGGAGGCGCCGAGTCGGTGCCCGCCAGTGAATTGCCCCGGAAGCTGTCTCGATTTTCTGGCGGGGAACACGGCGCACGCGGAAATCCGGCGCTCGCCGATCTGGGGCCCCCCTGGGAGCTGCCCCGATCTGTTCGCAGATCGGGAAGCACCCGATACAGATGAGCAGTTCCTTGGACACGCCCGCCCCAGCAACGTCAGCTTGAGCAGCCACGGGCGGCAGTCACGGCCTAGAGCGCGCAGGATGTAGCGCGCGAGCTCGACCGTCTTGGCTTCTAAGGCCCAGACAACGCCATTGGCGGGATCAAGAGAGGGCCCCATCCGCTCGAGCTGCATCTGCCGCTGGTGCGACTCCACCTCAGCGTAGGCGGCCTCCGCCCGCGCGCAAGCCAAGCGCATGGCGAGCTGCATCTCGCCTGGCGCGCCCGCGAGGCGGTGGGCCGCTGCCGCTTCCAGGATCTCGGGGGCGTCGAAGGCCGCCGCTGCAGTTCCGTCCAGCGGCGGCCCCGCCTCCGCTCGGCAGCGGGAGCCAGCCCCGCGCCCAGCCCGGAGGGCCAGTCGGCGGCGAAAATGTTGGAACAGCGCGACCCCAGGCACCCAGCCCATCGGGGCGACCCGGAACGCGACCCAGACGAAGCAGTTGCCTGGGAGCCCCACAGGGCGGGCAGGCATCGGCACTGACTCAGCAATCATCACCCACCAGGCGGGCGGCACTTTCCTGGCACAGAAGGCGCCCATCTGGTCGTCGCTGCCCCAGACCATGACGCAGCCCGCTGGCGGGTGGATGATGGCCCAGGGCCGGAGGGCCACCGCACCCTCCACGACGTCGCGAAGATAGGCGCTCGAGGGCACCATGTTGAAGATCAGGCGCGCGCAGCGCCTCTGCCCCTCGAGCGGATCGCCCCGTCTCTTTCTGGCGAACGAGCCGCCGAGCGCCACCTGGCCCCGCGCGGTGAAGACGCCCCTGCTCGCGACGACGCCCAGGGCGCCGAGCCTCAGCACGTGCTCGGCGATCTCGCACCAGCGCTTGACCTTCTCGCAGATGGCCCGCGCCCGAGGCGGCCCATCAGGCCGCTCTTCAGGCGGCCGCGCGACGCGGGCAGGGTTGAGCAGCCGCTCCAGGACGCAGTCGCCGACGAAGTCCTCAGCCCTGAGCTGCACCGCGCGTCGGGGTCAGGGGGGCCAGGGATGAGCTCCGCGAGGCGGGTCGGCAGCGCCTCGCCCTGCCCCCCCCGGCGCAGTCGACGCGGAACTCGACGAGCTTCTCGCTCCAGTCGACGCGAGGTTGGCGGGCCAGCGGCTGCCCCAGGAAGCCGCCGACGCGGCCGATGATGGTTCTGTCCGCGGTCTCCTGCGCTAGGCGCAGTGTGGCTGCGCGAGCCCAGAGGCGGAAGCCGCCTCGCCCCGCGCACTCCAAGTCGAGGGCCAGCACCGGCAGGGAGGCCCAGACCTCTCGAACTGCAAGTCGGCCGTGGTCTCGAAACTGCGGTCGCTGTCTTCTCGAAACGCCCCGAGACCCCACCCGCGCTCGCACGAGCGTCAAGTCGGGAAGGGCCATCGGCAATGGGTCGCACGACCTGCCCTGCGGCCCTCAACTAGCGGGAAGGGCAGGACGGAACCCTGGGCGCCGCCAGTGCGAGAAGACGACGGCGACGCCGAGGTCCAGCGAGCGCGGCGCGAGAAGACAAACTCGCGCGGCAGCTGCCTCCCGGCAGCAACCGGGACAAGCCAACGCAGACTGGCAAGGATTCGGGCCAGCCGCCCCGAAGCGGCGCAGCTAGCGCCGCCGCTCCGCACGCGGCGGAGGGCGGTCCTGCCGCCCCCGCGCCCGTTGCATCAGCTTCCTGCTGCGGGCCCCATAGCTGCCGCGACTCTCGCCAGCGCGCTTACGGCTGGCTTTCTCGACGACGTCCCAGGCCACCGTCTTCGGCGCGCTGCCCAGCCCCGCGCGGCATCGCCCATCAAATTCACTGCCATCGCCACCTCCGCGCCCGCGCGGGCCGGCGCCGCGGCGCCGTTTGGAGGCAAAGGGCCAGCCCTGACGAGGCCCCCAGGGGTCTGGACTGCTGGCCGCGCCTGAGACGTGGATCCCTGGCCCATGGAACGGCGCCTGCAAGCAGGGAGTTGCTCCTCGGCAGCTCCCGCCCCTGGCCAGACCCCTAGCCCATCTTGTGCTTCGCGAGCAGCTCCTCGAGGCGCAGCTCGCCGAGCTCGACCGCGCCGACGATCTCCTCATCCTCCGCGCGGAGCGCAAGCTGCCAGTTCTCAAAGCGGAATCAACTCCAGCCACCGAGCTCCAGACCACGACTTATCGATCGAGAAGAGCTGCAGCGCCTCGAGCCTCTTGCTCAGGACGTCGAAGGAGTAGGACGCACTGCCGCTAAGGATTGCCTCGGCCGTCTCGCACACGGTCCTCGTCTCGCGGTAGACCTCGGCACTGATAGACTTTATCCGGTTCTGGGGGATGAACACGTTCAAGATGCACTTCAAAGAGATGGGGAGGAAGTCCATAGGCACGTCGTCACCGACCTGCGGCGCGAGGCACTCCCGCATCTGGCAAATGGCCTGCTCGGACAAGAGGCCCCGGAACTTCTCAGCGACCTGCCGGAGGTGGCGCCGAGAGCGGCACGGCACTGTCCCCGCTGCCGCTCGAGTTCGACATGAGCAACTGCAGCAGGTCGGCTGAACTGCCACGGCGCGCGACGGCCTCACACAGCAGCTGGAGCAGCGCATCTCGCCGCCGCCTCCGTCACCCCTAGCCGCGGCGCCAGGGGCCGCCGCGGCGAGCCCTGTGGCCGGGCCAAGTTTCGCCGCCGCCTCCGCCCGCTCGTGGACCAAGTCCCCCAGCAGGCGCTTGCCCGCTCCACCGCCAGCAGCCGCCGCCGCCGCGCGCCTGCGCGCGCCTGGCCCGCCGGCGGCGCCACGGCCAGTGCACCCGCGCAGCTGCTCCGGCCGCGCGCGAGGTCCGCCGCGGAGGCGCGCAGGGGGCTCGGCCGCGCCCAAACGCTGTCCCCCGTGGCCACACGCGGCGAGCCTCGCGGCGCGCCGGGGGGCCCAGCGGGCGTCTTCGGCGTGGGTCGCGCGCCAAGGCCCCGCGGCCCTGGCGACGAGCGGCTGGTCGCAGAAGCCCGCGAGCGGCATGCCGCACTCGTCGAGGCCGCCAGGCGCCTCGTCCTCGTCCTCCTCGGGCGGCGGCCCGAGGTCCGCGGGCCAGGCCGCGTTCGGGTCCGCGCTGCGGCAGGCCGCGAAGAACTCCCTGAACGAGCCCGCATGGAGCACGCTTTTCTCGGGGGCGTGGATCCCCGTGACCGAGGAGGACGGTCGAGCAGCGCGCATCTCATAGCTGCAGAAGTCAGCCAACGTCTGGCCTGCACCGCCCCTGTCGCACGGCGTCGACCACCACCAGCACAAGCGCCCAGCCTGCGCCCACTGGCCCCCGCTCGTCGGTGGGTAGACCCCAGTGACACGGACACCGCCGCCCACGGCGGCTGCGTCGGTTATTTCGCGGAAGCCTCCACGGGATAGAGCGGGCCGAAGGGGCCCCAGAAAGGCGAGCGGCAAGCCCGAACTGAGTTTGAACCGAAAGAGATTTACGGAGCTATCCCCATCAAGGTTTCACCTCATGTGTCCGAGGAGGCGGCCTGTTTCGGATGCCACGCGTTATGTAACAATCTCGCACCCATAACAATTAATGTGCATGCATACGTATCTTGATTCCCCTGACAACAAAGAAAACCACGTGAACCCCTGACCATGTTTCTCCCGTGAGCATACCCAACAAGAAAAAGCGAAACCCCTACCATAAGTATTATTTGGAGGGCTTCCCCGGGAACCATCAGCAAGGCCAACAGGAGGAACCCGCCGTGGCAAATCCCCGTAACGGAGTTTGGCTAAAGGCCTTTTCCCCCTGGGCTCTCGACGCGTTTTGGTTTCGGGGAGGCCGCAGGAACCCTCCGAGGGCCCGCCCAACAAATCCCCACACGAGCTGTTGCTTTGCCCGCCCGATCCCCCCCCAAAAAAAGAAAAAAAATGATTATCCCGGCAAAGCAACCTAACAGCGATATGTAGAAGCATATCTGAAAGCATTCCCCTTAAGATTCAGATGATGAAAATCCAGTTGTAGAATTCTGCTGTTCTCGCAGTCGTAGTCGCATTCGCGATGACAGTCGCAGCGGCAACGGCAGTCGCAGTCACAGCCTCAGCCTCAGCCTGCCTCAGCCTCAGCCTCAGCCTGCCTCAGCCTCAGCCTGCCTCAGCCTCAGCCTCAGCCTGCTTCAGCCTCAGCCTCAGTCTGCCTTCAGCCTCGGCCTCAGCCTCATCCTGCCTCAGCCTCAGCCTGCATCAGCCTCAGCCTCAGCCTCAGCCTGCCTCAGCATCAGCCTGCTCAGCCTCAGCCTCAGCCTGCCTCAGCCTCAGCCTCAGTCTGCTTCAGCCTCAGCCTCAGTCTGCCTTCAGCCTCGGCCTCAGCCTCAGCCTGCCTCAGCCTCAGCCTGCCTCGGCCGCAGCATCAGCCTGCCTCAGCATTCAAAATGTGGCCCAGGAATGGAGTTTTGGGAACTAGAAGAACACGAAGTGGCCTACAGTTGGCTCCGGGCATTCAAAATCATGCCCAGGAATGGAATGGAGTTCTGGGAACTCGAAGAGCACGAAATGGCCTACAGTTGGCTCCGGGCATCCAAAATGTGGCCCGGGAATGGAGTTCTGGGAAATCGAAGAGCACGAAGTGGCCTACAGTTGGCTCCGGGCATCCAAAATGTGGCCCGGGAATGGAGTTCTGGGAACTCGAAGAGCACGAAGTGGCCTACAGTTGGCTCCGGGCACTCAAAATGTTGGAGTTCTCCGAAGAGCACACTCAAAATGTAGCCCGGGAATGGAGTTCTGGGAGGTCGAAGAGCACGAAGTGTGTGACTGTTGACGAAAAACGAGCCCGGCTCTGTTCCCGGTTCTCCAGAATGTGGCCCGGGAATGGAGTTCTGGGAGGTCGAAGAGCACGAAGTGTGTGACTGTTGGCGAAAAACGATTCCCGGTTCTCCTCCCCGGCACCCGCCCAGACCCCCCTGAGGAGTCATGATGCTCTCTTTTGACCCTACTAGAAACCTATCAGCAAACGCTGTTAGGTAATAAACGCCGTCCGCACGCCCTGGCACGCCCGCATCCTCCGAGCAGGCCCAGAACGACGATACGAGGCCAACCTGCAGTAGGGGCGCGCCCGCACGCCGACCTTCGGCTTGGGGGGGGGGGCCAAAGCCGCGGTGCGGAGGCTCCCCGCCTCTGGGAAGCCACGGGGGGGCGCATGGGCACCTGCGGTCATCGTCTCCGACGGCATCGGTGGGACTGCGAAGCCTGGACGCCGAGGACCCCCCTCGCGCTGTGAAAGAAAACACCACAGGAGGTTCTTCGCCAGGTTCGGCCCATGGGGGCCCTTGCTGGGCCTCGGGACCGTCAATTATCCCGGCAAAGCAACCTAACAGCGATGTGTAGGAGCATATCTGGAAGCATTCCCCTTAAGATTCGGATGAGAATCCAGTTGTAGAATTCTGCTGTTCTCGCAGTCGTAGTCGCATTCGCGATGACAGTCGCAGTGGCAACGGCAGTCTCAGTCACAGCCTCAGCCTCAGCCTGCCTCAGCCTCAGCCTCAGCCTGCCTCAGCCTCAGCCTGCCTCAGCCTCAGCCTCAGCCTGCTTCAGCCTCAGCCTCAGTCTGCCTTCAGCCTCGGCCTCAGCCTCAGCCTGCCTCAGCCACAGCCTGCATCAGCCTCAGCCTCAGCCTCAGCCTGCCTCAGCATCAGCCTGCCTCAGCCTCAGCCTCAGCCTCAGCCTGCCTCTGCCTCAGCCTCAGCCTGCTCAGCCTCAGCCTCAGTCTGCCGTCGGCCTCGGCCTCAGCCTCAGCCTGCCTCAGCACAGCCTCATCAGCCTCAGCCTCATGCCTCAGCCTCAGCCTCAGCCTGCTTCACCCTCACCTCATCTGCCTCACTCTCGCCTCCGCCTCCGCCTGCTCCACCTCAGCCTGCTCAGCCCCAGCCCTCAGCCTCAGCCTCGGCCTCAGCCTCAGCCTGCCTCAGCATCAGCCTGCCTCAGCCTCAGCCTGCCTCAGCCTCATCCTCAGCCTCAGCCTGCTTCAGCCTCAGCCTCAGTCTGCCTTCAGCCTCGGCCTCAGCCTCAGCCTGCCTCAGCCTCAGCCTGCATCACCTCAGCCTCAGCCTCAGCCTGCCTCAGCATCAGCCTGCCTCAGCCTCAGCCTCAGCCTGCCTCTGCCTCAGCCTCAGCCTGCTTCAGCCTCAGCCTCAGTCTGCCTTCAGCCTCGGCCTCAGCCTCAGCCTGCCTCAGCCTCAGCCTGCTTCAGCCTCAGCCTCAGCCTGTCTCAGCATTCAAATGTGGCCCGGGAATGGAATTCTGGGAACTCGAAGAACACGAAGTGGCCTACAGTTGGCTCCCAGCTCGGGCATTCAAATGTGGCCCGGGAATGGAATTCTGGGAACTCGAAGAACACGAAGTGGCCTACAGTTGGCTCCTGGCATTCAAAATTGGGCCCAGGAATAAGTTCCGGGGGGGGGGTGTGGTATAAAGTCGAAGAGTCTATCTAAGTGGCCTACAGTGGGCTCGGCTCCAAATGTGGCCCCGTGGAGTTTCTTGGCACTCGAGAGACGCTGGCCTACAGGTTGGCTCCGGGCATCCAAATGTTGCCCCGGAATGGAGTTCTGGGAAGTCCTAAAGCACGAAGTGGCCTGTCCAATACCACAAACACAAAAAACAGTGTTTGGCTCCGGTTTATTCAAAATGTGGCCCGGGAATGGAGTTCTGGGAGGTCGAAGAGCACGAAGTGTGTGACTGTTGGCTTAAAACGAGCCCGGCTCTGTTCCCGGTTCTTTTCCCCGGCACCCGCCCAGACCCCCCTGTGGAGTCATCAGATGCTCTCTTTTGAATCCACTAGAAACCTATCAGCAAAAGCTGTTAGTCAAAAACGGCTCAGGGATGAAAACCAGTCCCACAGGACGGCGGAACCTCAGGGATGGGTCCGGACCTTCGGGCCGACGTGGCACTTGTGTAATTATCCCGCAAGCAACCTAACAGCGATGTTGTAGGCAGCGGATGTCTGAATAGCATTCCCCTTAAGATTCGGATGAGAATCCAGTTGTAGAATTCTGCTGTTCTCGCAGTCGTAGTCGCATTCGCGATGACAGTCGCAGTGGCACCGGCAGTCGCAGTCACAGCCTCAGCCTCAGCCTGCCTCAGCCTCAGCCTCAGCCTGCCTCAGCCTCAGCCTGCCTCAGCCTCAGCCTCAGCCTGCTTCATCCTCAGCCTCAGTCTGCCTTCAGCCTCGGCCTCAGCCTCAGCCTGCCTCAGCCTCAGCCTGCCTCAGCCTCAGCCTCAGCCTCAGCCTGCCTCAGCCTCAGCCTGCCTCAGCCTGCCTCAGCCTCCCTCTGCCTCAGCCTCAGCCTGCTTCAGCCTCAGCCTCGCGACGGCCTCGCTCGGCCTAGCTGCCTCACTCCAGGCGCGCCTCAGCCTGCTTCAGCCTCAGCCTCAGCCTGCTTCAGCCTCAGCCTCAGTCTGCCTTCAACCTCGGCCTCCGCCTCAGCCTGCCTCAGCCTCAGCCTGCATCAGCCTCAGCCTCAGCCGCAGCCTGCCTCAGCCTCAGCCTGCCTCAGCATCAGCCTGCCTCAGCCTCAGCCTCAGCCTCAGCCTGCCTCAGCCTCAGCCTCAGCCTCAGCCTCAGCCTGCTTCAGCCAAAGCCTCAGTCTGCCTTGAGCCTTGGCCTCAGCCTCAGCCTCAGCCTGCCTCAGCCTCAGCCTTCATCAGCCTCAGCCTCAGCCTCAGCCTGCCTCAGCATCAGCCTGCTTCAGCCTCAGCCTCAGCCTGCCTCAGCCTCAGCCTCAGTCTGCTTCAGCCTCAGCCTCAGTCTGCCTTCAGCCTCGGCCTCAGCCTCAGCCTGCCTCAGCCTCAGCCTGCCTCGGCCGCAGCATCAGCCTGCCTCAGCATTCAAAATGTGGCCCAGGAATGGAATTCTGGAACTAGAAGAACACGAAGTGGCCTACAGTTGGCTCCGGGCATTCAAAATCATGCCCAGGAATGGAGTTCTGGGAACTTGAAGAACACGAAGTGGGCCTACAGTTGGCTCCGGGCATCTCAAATGTGGCCCGGGAATGGAGTTCTGGGAGTCGAGCAAGCACGAAGTGGAGGCCTACAGTTGGCTCCGGGCATCCAAATGGTGGCCCGGGAGTGGAGTTGTCTGGGAAGTGGAAGACGGAAAGTGGCCTACAGTTGGCTCCGGGCATCCAAAATGTGCCCCGGTCACAGTTGTGCTGGGAATACGAAGAGCACCGTCTACCGTTGCTCCG